CTCCGAGCTGGTTTCCTCACTGTCCAGTCTTGCTCCTTTCCAACCCAAACTCCACGCTCTAGCTGCGTGATTCCTGCACACCACAAACGCTGTGCCACTGCCCTGCTGAAAAATGGCTTCACTCTGCTTTTCAAATAAAGTCTAAACATCCTCAGATGATTTGGCCCCAGCTTCCTTCCCAGCCTCATCGCTACCCACCCCTTTCCTCACATGCTAAGCTCCGGCCAGACTGCACGGCTCCCAGCTCTGAGTGCCACGCTCCCCCTCACTTCCAGGCCTATGGGCCTACTGAGAATGCCTGCCTCACTGCCCGCCCCAACCCCCTCACCTGGCTCAGACACCACTCTAGGAAGCTTTCCCTGAACTCTCACCTATCTGAGAACAGGCTGGGAATTCCTGTGTGCTCCCACAACCTCCTGTTCTTATCCCAATTTTAGCACTGATCACATGGCATTCTTGCTGTCTCTTTTACTTGTTTCCCTCCACCAGACAGGGAGCTCTTTAGGCCAGGGAACAAATGCTTCACCCTTTACTATATCCCCAGGACCCAACAAGGAACATGGCATACAGTAAGTCACCTATCTGTTAAATGAATAAATTAGTGAGAGGCATGGAGAGAAAGAAAAAATAATAATAATATACGTTAAATCTGAGCAGTACTTTCCCTTTACAAAACACTTTTATAGATATTTGATCCTCATAAAAACTTCCATCTAGGTATCATAATTTTAACATGAGTTAACAGGAATAGTGAGACCAAATGGCCAAAATGACATCTAGCACGAGGTAGATTTGTTCAGTGGATTCTGAGGAGAAACTTCGTTACTCCACTCTTGCTATATGTGTAGGCCCAGTGACATCTCTCACACACAGAAACTGCTCAGTAAGTGGCAGACACCATTACTATATAACAGGTGCACAATAACTTGAATGCATGAATGAATGAACGAACGTGGTGCATGCAGTGCCTTCTTCTTTTCATCCTTAAAACCTCCTCAGATTTTTCTCTGATGATTGGCTGCAATAGCCCACCCCAACCATAACTGTCCCCTAGAGAATACTTCTCTGGATGGTGATCAGGACCTGAACCAAGGACTCTGGCCCTTCTCAAGGTTCAGTCATTCCCCCAGGGGAGTCTTGTCTCTTCAAAGCTGCCTCTAAGTCTTGAGCATGATTCTTAAACGTTGTGAGAACACACTTCATCCTCAGGCCAGCTCTAAGACAGGTTGCCCAAACGGGTTTTTTGAGTTTTGTTTTAAATAGAAAGTATCATTAAACAAATCACTAAATGGCACCCAAAAAGCCATCGATTCAGCAGCCATCAGATCTAAAGTCATCAGATCTGAAGCTGTATCCGTGCTCTCTATAAAAGATACAGCCAGAAGTCAGCTAGAACAAAATGGTACTTACCAGGAAGTCATTGCCAAGCCTGTAGTCTCCCACGCCATAATTGTAAGTCAGTTCTGCAACAAAGTGATCATCCTCAGGCCCAAATCCCACCATTGTTTTACTCCACTTCCCATCATAAGGCCTAGAAAAATGAAAAAATGAACCCAGTGGCCACAGAGGTGGGCAGTCTCTTCTGGCCCTCTAAGTCCCCACGAGGGTGAGATGGCCTCAGCTGATGCTCAGAGCAGCTGTGGACAGTGTTCAGGGGCCCTATCACCAAAGGCTCTGAAGACCATCTGTCTGGCACCTACTTGAGGGAAAGTCGTTACTTTCTCTTTAAAGAAGAGGGCTGAATCCTATAGGGACAATTCTCCCCACTGACCCTCACTTATTTTTTGCATATTCGTCAACAAGCATGCAGTTTCCACCAGGCCTTGGAATTTCCCAGCTTGCTATGGCTACTAACCTGGAGAGACTCCACAGGACATGGCTTCATCCAGGAAATATACATATTTGTGCTCCTGAAGCTGCCTCCCTAATTCATTGCCTTATTTTATCTTATTTTTTAATTCTTTGAAGTTTTATTTTGATATAATTTAACTTCTCAGGAAAGTTGCAAGAATAGATTGAGAAATTCCAATGAATTTTTAAATTTTTTTTATTTATTTAATGTATTTTGAGAGAGGGAGATAATTAGGTTTACTTATTTATTTATTTTTGGAGGAGGTACTGGGGATTGAACCCAGGACCTCGTGCATGCTAAAGCATGCACTCTACCACTTAAGCTACACCCTCCCCTACTTTGATGAATTTTTTTAACTAAATTCATTGGTTGTTTACATTTACCCATTTGACCCCACTGTTGCCTCCTTAATTTATTCTGCTGCCTTATATTGGCTTTAAGAAACTGCTTTCGGTTCTCCAGGGGTATTCAGAGCCTAAAGGAGATTTTAGGAAACAAAGTGTCATACCCGTTACAGGCAGCTTTGCAGCCTTCATCAAATTCCTCATGCCGCAGAATCTGGTAAGGGAATTAGAATAAATTACAAAGTTCTCCTAGTACTGCACATGGCATATTTAGCATAAACTAAAATGTCAAAACGCACACATTATCATTGGTAAGCTTTACTTGTAAAACAAACAAAAAGGAAAGAGCTGTATATTTTCCCTAGGCTAAGTAAATTTATATAAATCCAATGTAACTGAAGTAGCAGCAGTTAAGAAAGAACAGCTTGACACCAACGGTCAGGCAACCAAGCAAAGTTGTGAAATCTATTTAGATTGGGGAGTCAGGGAGCAGTACTGTGCAGTAATAACAACAACAAAAAAGTGTGGCTTTCATTTAGTAGTTGTGCAATTCTGAGAACAAAGCTTAGGATCTGAGTCTCCTAATATGTTATGAAAATAGATCACTTATTAAAGCATTTTACACAGAATCTAATACACAGTAGGCTCTCAATGCGTTAGTTTTATTTTCCCATTTGAGTCCCACAGCTACTGCTCTGGTACAAGTGTCCATTATTTCTCTCTTTTACTATTAGAAGTCATATTTACTGATCTCTGTCCTTAATATCACCATGAAATTAAGTCCCTGAAGTACAGCTCTGATCACATCATTGCCCCATCCTAAAACGTAAGAGAACACCCTACTTACTGTGACATAAAATGCAAATTCCTTAGCACATTATTCAAGATACTATCAGAAGCAGTCCCAACCTGTTTGTCCTGGTATCCCATCTCCTCAGTCTATGTTAAAGGCACATAAAACTAGTGGTGCTTCCCAAACTTATCTTTGCACTGGCTACTCAGTTTTTCCACTATACTCCTCCCTCTGATCTTGGTCTGTGGAAATCCTGTCTTTAGAGGTCAAATGTAAGGTCTCCATGAATTATTTCCTGAGGACCAAGGTTAGAATTAAATCTCTCCTCCTTCTGTATTTTTATAATAATAGTAGCTAACACTTATATAATACATATGATGTGTCAAATACTACACATATAATAACACATTTAATCGTCACAACCACCCTTTAATCAATGAGGAAACATATTAAGGAAGAGCTCTGTGGTTTTTCTACCACTTATTAAATTTCAACTTCCGTTACCATTAGCAATGTACAAATCTTATTCTCACTGCGATCCTAGGCCAGGAGCTTGAATTCAGGACAGATAACCAGGGTCACTTTCATTTCTGCCACCAAAGCTCAACACAGAACTGTGAATGGGGTGATATTTTTTAATTGACTGGTGAGTTCAGGTAACTCCCTTTGCATTCCACATCTTCTGCAGTGTCTACATTCAATTGCACTCTTGCACACTGTAAACAAAGAATGTTGCGCGCCATTTCATTTCTACAAGGACCCAGCCCTCAGCCTTGCAGTCACCGACTAACAGTGCACCCTGAGGGGAATTCCGGGTGGAGAAAAACAAGAAATATTTCATGCTTGGGATACTGGCCCTGGATATTTAAGACGCATATCTAAGGAATAATTTCAACAAACCCAGATTTTTGCATCTTCCCATACACAGAAAAGCATAAAATCATTAACTTGAGATATCTGTTTTTGTGATTACCAGTAACCTTTTGATGCTGGGTATATTTTTTTCCCCAGCCAAAAATTCATACATATCCTGGCTCCTTCCTTACCTCTTCAGAGCAATTCCTCAGAGGTATCTGAGAAGCTGTCTCCCAGGCTACAGTTCTCAGTAAGGTCCCCAAATAAAATGTATCCCTCAAATTTTAGGTTGCTCTTTTTTTCTGTCAGTTGACAACATCTTAAGCCCCTGGTTATCAAGAGCACCCCAACAGCTTCCACATGCGTTTGCCACCCACGTGACTCATGCAGAATCACAGCTGCTCAGGGCCTGAGAGCGGCCACTCCCAGGTGTTGGAGAGGAGAATGGATTGACTTCACACTGAGATCTGGACTACTGAGAGGAGAGTTGGAGCATTCACCCAGAGAGATTAAGTATTCGAAAGAGACCATTCAAACCAGCCCCAAGAGAAGCAGAACTCTGAATATGCTAATACCTAAACCGAAAGAGACTGAGTCACTGTTCACTGGAAGACTATTACATAACTTTTTATTGATTTACTGTCTTTCCCTCTAGACTGAAAGCTCCACAAGGATAGGAACTCAATAAACATTTGTGAATGAAATTTAATGGAAGGATGTGCGTAGACACACAGTCGATGACTAATATTAGTCCGAGCCCCCTTTCAAAGGCCATGCAACCCAACCCGCGACTCGCGACGCTTCCTGAAGCTGAAAACCTTACAGAACTAATAGGAAGTTCAGGGGCTGTGGCTGGAATTCACATCACACCCGTTTCTCCCCTCCTTCGGCCAGGTGGGCCTCAGCCGCCCGCGACCCCCTCGCGCGCCAGCCCCTCTGGCCCCATCTGCACCTTCATCCCCAGGACATTACGATAGAAACTCGCTGTCTGGAAGCGGTTTCCCACTTTGAACACGAAGTGCAGAGCTCTACGAGTCGCCATGACCAGCAAAACCACCGAGACCACCGAGACCACCGACACCACTCACGTTCCACGCGTAGAGCACCGCCCCGCCCCCAGAGCACGCAGGCGGGCCGGTGACGTCATTGGCCGCCGCCGGCGCGCTTTCTTGACGCAGGCCCCCGCGCGGGGGAACATGGCGGCGCTGCTGAATCGCGTGGGCTGGGCAACGCGACCCGTGCTGCCCGTGGTCCAGACTTGGGACCTTGACGCGCGGCGCTGGGTCCGGGCGCTGCGGCGAAGCCCCGTGAAAATGGTGTTTCCATCCGGTCAGGTGGTGGAACGGAAGCCCAGTCCCGGGAAGCAGCCCCGGAAGGCGGCGGCGGAGGCCAGTCCCCGTGAGCAGCGGCTGAAGCAGCCGCTTCAGGTCCCCCCATCTCAGACACCAAGCACCTGGGAAGAGTCCGGGCTTCGCTATGATAAGGCTTTCCCTGGAGACAAAAGGCTGAGGTGATGTGTTCCTGAGACTTATCGAGTATTGCTATTTCTCTTCCCACCTCACAGCAGGATCTTGACCTCTCCTCCCATTGGAAGACTTCCAGTACAATTCGCTGGATTTTATGATGCACGGAAGGCAGAAGAAGTGTCTTTTTTCAAATTCGTTTGTTTCTTTCTCTGTCAAGCTCCTCCAGTCTGTTAGAATTAGGTGTGTCTCCGTAACGAGGATGTTGGTAATTAACTGTCTTTTTATTTCCACCCACAGCAGTGTGATGACAATAGTTAAGTCCAGGCCATTTCGGGAAAAGCAAGGGAAGATTCTGCTGGAAGGTCGTAGGCTGATTGCAGACGCTCTCAAGGCTGGTGCTGTCCCCAAAGTTTTCTTCTTTAGCCGTCTGGACTACCTAAAGGAGCTGCCCATTGAGAAGCTGAAAGGTGTTAGCCTCATTAAGGTGAAATTTGAGGATATCAAGGATTGGTCCGACCTAGTGACACCACAAGGAATAATGGGTTAGTGGTTATTACACAATTTGTCTCTAGAAGTAGAGACCTAGGATTATTTTTTTCATACTTGTCTCAGGGCAACAAATTTTATTTAAACCAAATTCAAACATTACTGCCTAACTTTTTCTTAAAACTCCCAGAAAAATTTATGCATCTTGTATTTTCAGTGGAAACTGAAGCCAGTTTTTCATCATTTGTTTGTGGTTTTTTATAGTCTTTAGGAATTTTTGGGGTCACTTCTTCAATCTTTAATGTCCAATTAAAGATTTAAGAAAATGTTTACCAAAATACCCTCCATTTCCACAAAACTTCTGCCAGTGTGGCTGATACCCATATATCACTGTCCCCCTTATTCTAGAAGCAGGTCTGAGCAGTAAGCTACAATTTATTGCTCTGTTTAGCTCATTGAACAGGAAACCTTGTTTTCATTTGGTGAAATCCAACTCAGGAGTCTAATAGACTGTGATGTTTGTAAGCACTTAGAAAGTTCTTTTTTCCTAAATATAGAGGAGTTATCTTCAAGATTCTAATGTTTAAGCCAGGGCCTGTCAAATAAGTTGTGCATGTATTCCCTGTAGTGAGCTCACTGTGCAGCTGTTTGTTAGGAGAGGAAATTCTGGAGACCATCTCTTGTTTCTGTAACCCAGCATATCACAGGAATCTGTGCTCCTGCTCTCAGAACTGTCCCCTTGGGTGGGGACTTGGACTACTGAAATTCTCCACTCACTCTCGTTAACTACACCGCCCTAATCCGTACTCCATACTGCATGAAAGTGTCACTTGTTTTGACCATGCTTGCCATTTTGGGCATGTGTGTTAACAGTGGCCAGCCCCTTCTGGACTTCTGTAACCCCCTTCATTATTATAACTGCTTTCATCATTTCATGGCTTTTAAAAACATTTTGGGGAGGGTATAGTTCAGTGATAGAGCATGTGCTTAGGATGCACGAAGTCCTGGTTTCAATCCCCAGTACTTCCATTAAAATAAATAAACATAATTACAACCCTCCCCCCAAAAAGCTATATTATTTAGCTTCTCCTTACCCTGTTTTATTTCAGATTTGAGGAGGGGGTAAAAGGAAAAATAGATAAGATCTAGTACTACCTCTCAGACATTAGGCACATCTCTGAAATCCAGTAATGTAAATGGGTCCTCTAGAAGTAGAGTTCTCATACCACAGCCCTTCAACTAGAAGTTAAAGGACTTCTGAGGTCCTCTGTCCCACTGGTCTTGTGGCTGTCTGTGACTCTTAAGTGCCAGGTCTTTTACAGTACACAGATGCCTGATAACATTCCATTGCCTCCACTATTGGGTTAGGTAGAAGTTATTTATTTATTTTATTTTGGGGGGAGTAGGTAATTAGGTTTATTTATTTATTTATTTTAATGGAAGTACTGGCGATTGAACCCAGGACCATGTACATGCTAGGCACATACTCTACCACTGAGCTATACCCTCCCCCCAGGTTAGGTAGAGGTATTTATTCTCACTGTGAATAAGCTGGAATAGCCTGTGGGGAGGGCAGTTTGGCGGTATCTGTTAACATTAGGAGCACACACACACCATTTGTCCATTTCACTTACAGGCATTTTTCCTAGGGAAATATTTGGACATATGCACAGACTCATACAGTGATGTTCATTGCAGCGTTGTTCACAATAGGGAAAAATTGAAAATTAAATGTCAGTTGGAGAAGAGCTAAATAAATGATATTCTTGTTACAAAATAGCATGCAGCAGTTACAAGAATAAGGTAGCTTCTTATGGACATGGTAAATTCTCCAAGACATCTGATGTTACGGAGTTAAATAAGTAGATTACAGAATAATGTGGAGAGTATGATTTCTTTATCTAAAAGAAAAAGCACTTATATATGAATAGATATACATATATGTAGGTGGATGCAAGGAACAAGTTCTGAAAGGATACACTCCAAGACTGAAAAAAATTCAGTGCCTTCCTCTCCCCTGTAACCATTTTCAATCGGAATGTATTCATGTATTATGCAATTAAGAATACAGGAAGAATCATAAGTAAATAAAAAGATTATTCCTCATGTTCACATCAAACAACTGAATAACCTTTTGTGTTTCCTTAGGGATTTTTGCCAAACCTGACCATGTTAAGATGACATACCCAGAGACTCAGCTTCATCACACACTGCCCTTATTATTGATTTGTGACAATCTCCGTGACCCTGGGAACCTGGGGACAATTCTGAGATCTGCTGCTGGGGCAGGCTGCAGCAAAGTATTACTCACCAAAGGTAAGAGCGCTTGTTACTGGGTGGAGCAGGTGGCCATTGTGAGCAAGCTGGCTCTGTGGGCTGATGTGCATGGGTTTGAATATTGGATCTGTCCCTTGTCCCTCACATGTAAGTGAGCAGTACTCTGAGTGTCAGTTTCCTCATCTGTAAAGTGGGCTTCACAGAAGGGTTGTTTTGAGGATTAAGTGAGATGATGCATGTAAAGTACTCAGCACTGTGCAAGGCACACTCAGTAGATGCTGGTTGTTTTAAAATTATTTTGACACCTGCTAGGTTATTAAAGAAAGAACTTAAAATTAATCAGAGGAGAAATAGATGCGGGTTTTAACACTTGGTCATCTCCTCTCGTCAGAAATGGGAATTAGTAGGCTTGGTGTCAAACAGACTTGCCTAACAGTTGGGACATGTCTAAAAGGCCTCTTACAAGTTGGGGGGAGGATGGGCGGGAAAGGGTCATTCATCAGGAACAGTCAAGCTGCTGTTCACTGTGACTCAGTAGTGGTACCCATGGCTGAAACTTGCCTAAATTGCTCAACTCTTCTTCCCCGTCATACCTTGTCAGAGCACATCTCTCCACTGGCATGAGAGCAAAGATGCTGGGGTTCCATCATCGGTACCCCACTTACCTGACTCATTGTTGAGAGTTCTAAGAGCAGGTGTGGTTTGGGAAATGTACCCCTATAATCCAAGCAGTGTGGTTTCCACGTTGGTGCTGGTGGTTGCTGTGTAAGAGGAAGGGAAGGAGTAGGAAACACATGGGGTGGTCCCCAGTATTGAGGACGAGGAGGAAGTCTCATCTTGTCTCTTACTCCCCACTGGGTGGAGAGGTCAGACTAGATAGTGCCCCTCATGAGTCTGGGTCCCTCCTTTGCCCTCCTCGCCTCTCATCCCTGGTTCCCTGCAGTCATGGGGAAAGCCATGCTCTAGGATCCATGTGGCCATTGTACATGCTCCACATTTTATTTTCCTTTTGAAACTTGGTTTGCCTACTTAACCTGACCTGATGTTTGACAGATTAATTCTTAAAATAATTTCTAACAAAGACACTTGTGCTAACAAGTCAGGGAAGACAGTGGATACGCGGTACCTGGTCCTGCTGTCTCCCAGCGTGTGTCCTGGGAAAGGCCCCAGGACTGCCGATGCATAGAAGCGGCTGGGCTTAGCACATGGCTGTAGGGAAGCCTGCCTCTTGCGGTGGAAGCGGAGGCGTGTGAATGATAAGGCTATTGCTGTTGCCTTGGTTCTCCCTGGATTACTGTAATTGCCTCCCATCTAATTTCCCCATCTCTAGTGTCTTCCCTGCTGCAATCCAGATTCAACATCGAAGCCAAATGGGTCTTTTTAAAACATAAACCAGATTTGTCACTACTTTGCTTAAAATCCTTCAATGGCATTATGTTGTTTTCTGGTTAAAATCCTAAGCTCCTCAGCCTGGCACACCCCGCCGCCTTTAAATTGGCCCTTTCCTGCCTCCCATATCACCTCCCACCTCACCCCTACCCATTAATTGGCCTGATTACCTTGGCTTTGGGATGGTGGCACTCTTCCCCCGTCTGTAACTTTGTCCTCTGCTCTGGTCTTTCTCACAAGATCCTCCTGTTCTTCAAGATCCAGCTCAGTGCCATGGTCTCTGGGTTGTTTTTCCTGATAGCTCTGCTTCGTGCCCAGGTTTCTGTTACCCTGTTCATACTTCTTTTACATTGGTTATTACGAATATGATAGTAATCTGTTTAAATGTCGTCCAAACGCCATTGTCCATTATGTCATGAGCTCCTTCAGGTTGGGGACTTTAATGCACTTTGCATCTCCCGTACTGTCTGGCACATACTTACGGTATAGGTTGAATGGATGAATAAAATGTTTCAGCACTAGCAGGAGATAACCCACCAGTCCCTTTGCTGGACACTCCTGTAGCTGGGGAAGCAGAAGTCCCAGCCATCAAGAACGCCACAGTAGGAAATTTTTTGCTTTATTTCTTGATCCAGAATTAATCTGATTGACTTCAGAGTCCCCTTGTCTGGGAAGGTTTGTAATCTTAACTGGATCTTGTCTTCTATTTTCTAGGCTGTGTGGATCCCTGGGAGCCCAAAGTGCTGCGGGCCGGGATGGGCGCACATTTCCAGGTGCCCATCATCAACAATCTGGACTGGGAAGCAGTGCCCAACTACCTGCCCACCAATACCCGGGTCTTCGTGGCTGACAACTGCGGCCTTTATGCGCAGGCCCAGGCCCAGATGTCTCATAAGGCTAGTGACCATGGCTGGATATGTGACCGACGACTCCTAAAGTTTCACAAGTATGAGGAAGAGGAAGAGGATCCAGAAGATGAAGCCAGTGAAGGCTGGCTCCCCAAACTTGAGGTCCAGAGTTATGACTCGGATTGGACAGAGGCACCAGCAGCGGTGGTGGTAGGTGGGGAGACCCATGGCTTGAGCCTGGAGTCCCTGCAGTTGGCTGAGAGCACCAGGGGCGGGCGCCTGCTGATCCCCATCGTACCTGGTGTGGACAGCCTCAACTCCGCCATGGCTGCAAGCATCCTGCTCTTTGAAGGGAAGCGACAACTGCGGGTAAGGGCGGAACGCTTGAGCAGGGACAGGAGTTACCACTGAGGAGGGACGACAGTCAGTCCTCGGTTAGAGGCTGTCTCTGTGGTTACTGGAAAAATAGGAATTTCCATGAAGTTCTGCTTATCCTCAAAAATAAGAAAGGTTAAAATTCTTCCTGGTTAAAATTCTTCCTGAGATCTTCCAACTAACGTGTGTGTGTGTGTATCTGTGTGTGGGTGAGAGAGAGTGTAAGTAATGATCCTCAGGGCTCTCTATGTATGTGTTTTTAAAAATTGTCCACCAAGGAGCATTTTTGTGCCCAGAAAGTTCCTGAAAGCGTCATCTTGGCCAGGGAGGACCGCTCTCTCCACCGGCTGGGGGTGCTTCGCAGTCGTGGAGCATTGGCTGTAGGCCAGGCTCCATCACCAGCTCCTCTGATGGTTGGTCCATGGAAAATAAATAAGTGTAGACCAGCAGATTACATTAAAAAAAGGTTTTGTTTCAGTGTGGTCGGTGGTCACAGTGCATATCTTTTCATCTTTGGCCTAGTGATGAGGACACTGCTGAGAGATTAATGGCCCAGGAAGCTAAGGGTGATGGCCTTCAATAGCTGGCTGTTCTTTTGGCTTGGCTGTGTTAACTTCTGTTCGTGTAGGTTTTGATTTAAACACTGTTTATGTTTGACACTTTTTTTCCCCATTTCTGGTGAACAGTTGGTGGAAACAGCTTAATTCATCAGGTGGTATTATGCCTTCTTAGCATCTTGGCAGATAATTTTTTGGGGACTCTTGTCCAGAAAAGGAGGAAAGTTTTTTAATCTTTAGCTTAACCCAGCATCTGTCAGCAAAGCCATACTCTTTTTACTAGCTTCCTGCTGTTAGTCCTTCTTTACAGAACACTTTTGGTTAAATGTAATGATTGACTTATTTGCATTAATCTCCCGTCCTGCATGAACAGAACTGCTTAAGGAAAGGCCAGTGTTCCTGGATGTTTTGTGTAGAGAGCCTCCTGTGAGGGGAGGGAAGCTGAGGTTCTGAGGATCAGAGCTTGGGGCCCTTGGGCCCACAGTTCTGCAGCAAGACCCTGCTGGAGCCCCCAGGGGACCAGGGCAAGCTGGATCCTTACTGGGTACCAGCTAGGATGTAATTGCGGACATGAGGAGAGGCAGGTTGGTAATCACTGTGTTTGTAAGTCACTGTGGGAAGGGGATAGGTGGGACCAGAATGTGGGACTTACTTCAGGCAGTGCTTTTGCAACCAAAGACAGTATGGTTGGAGTTGAGAGACCCCAGGAGTGTGGTTTCACCACATCTCTTCCACACAGGGGCTCCTGTACTGGTTGGGATTCCTTGGGAGCCCTTCAGCTGCTCATTCCAGGGAGTCCCAGTGAGCATGGGGGTCCCATGCTCGAGAGAAACCGTGCACCCCTACCAGCTCCCTGGTAAAACGAAAAGGCCAAGCTTGACGTGTGTCCCAAATGGTGCCCCAGTGGGTTTGCTTTGCTATGTTTGACGGGAGGGGTTTTTGCAGGGACAGTCTCTCTGGTTGGCCAGGCTCTTGGGCTGACCAGCAGAAGCTGCTGGGGTGCCCTGCTCTGGTTGGGGCTTGCCCAGGCCCCCACACCAATGCTGATGATGACAGTGGCCCCCAGAATGTTCTTGAGACCCTCCATTCCCCTTCAGGTTCTAGAAAATAGAAGAGCCCACAGCCTTCGTAACTGCTGAGCCCACAAAGGCTGGGACTTCGTCTGCCAGCTTCACAGCCATGATGCCCGTCACACCAGCAGGCGAAATCTGGGGGCAGCCCAGAGAACTGTACCACGTTTGTACTGCCATCCAGTCTCCCAACACCTTGGGAAAGCGCTAAAGAAACAGACATCACTAAAATGAGTTTCATGCCTTTTCAGCATGAAACCAGTCTCCTGCAGTTTTTGTCCCCCGGTTATTGTTCCTACTGATTTTGTCACAAAATAGAAATAAAAGCACTGCAAAAGAGCACATCCAGCAAGTCTTTCTACACCTAGTTTATCTCCTGGTGTGAGAAGTTTACATCCCATTCATTTTATAGTCAGTGACTTGTATATCACACCTTGTGAGTTCTTTTTATGTAATTTAGCAGAGGGGAGGGCAAATTTCCCTTTCTTTAAAATGATTACAGGGAAGCAAATGGTGAACTTGTTTATCCAGTGTTGGAAATTCACCATCTCGAATTCTCAATTTTGAGGCCAACATTTATGTCACCACAAATGAAACAGGAATAAGAACTGAACAGTAGGTGACAAGTAAAACACATTGCTTGGCTGAAAAAGAAGCCTTCAGAAGGCTGGCCAAGCTGCCCCTTGCCTTTGTGTCGCACAAAGCTGTCGTGATGATTTATGCCACAAGGGGGCAGCCACGCCTCAAACCACTCCCAACTATGAGGGGAGGGGTCGGAATTTTTCCTGGAAGTAAATGGTTGAAGAGAGGATGGAGTTCAAAGTCCCCCTCCACCACTGTGGGCATTCTGCAAGTTGTTTGTGCTCAGAGGTGCTGAAGTTGGAGACCCATCCAGATTGTCATTCCTTCTCGGCAGAATCTGACATAGAACATTAGACCAAAAACTAGAGGAAATGGATAGAAATAAATGGAAAGTAAAAACTAACAAAAAACTAGCACATCTTTCTCTTTGAACGGAGCCTCTGGGAAAGCAGCTCTGGACAAAAGCTGATGCCCCCAGCCACCAGGAACTTACTGGGGAGCCACTGCCTCACCCTTGGCTTGGCGTTTCGGGGCAGGGCAAGCTGAGACGTCCTCTTCCCTCCCCCAGCCACAGCTGCTTGCTCATGGTTAGAATCAGTCATTAAGGCCCAGAGGATAAACAGGCCTCTGGGGACTGATTTCTACCAGCTTCACCTGGGACCTCCTACCACTTGCCCCAGGGTTTTCCAGCAACACCAGATGTCACCAAAAGCTGAGCTGCTTTAATCTCCACTTTTGTGGTTCCGCCTTGCGAAGACCCCAGGAACAGCACCTCACCCCAGGTTCCCTGCCTGGTGCTGGAAACCCTGGCTGTGCCGTGCACCTGGGCCCCTCTTGGCCAAGCTACCTCCACCTACCGAGGGAGCAGACCCGACTGGCTCACCTGAAAAATGTGTTATAAAGGAAACACTCAGGTAGACACCTTTACGCTCCAAGATCTTACTTCCTCTGTCTTCATCCGTGAGTGTGCGGAGAAGCTAGAAGCCAGATGGATGGATGAGCTGGTGTGCTGCTGTCTGTGGGTAACTGACAGTCTCTGAACTGGGCTGCTGAGTTACACTAGAGCAGCTGCAAGCGCTGAAAGCATCAGGAAGCCAGGCCTGTGCTCAGAGGCCACGTGCAGCTGAAAATCTGAATACATTACAGATCATGTCAGTTCCGTTCTTACTACATTTGTTTTGTAGGAAGGAGCAGCTTTTAGCAACTGAGGCCTCATCGCTGGAGAGGACCACCAACAACACTGCTGCTTCCTGCAAATGCAAGGAGGGAACAGCGTGGGGAGAGATGTGGCTGCAGCAGGGTCTGGCCTCCCAGCCTCCTTTGCTTTTCTGATGGTCGGGGTACATCCTGACTGCAAGCCGGCAGTGGCTTGATTGGTTGGGTACCTCATCTCCTCTGATGTCAAAGGAGATTTGTTTTGGGGGGCCTGGGTCCTAGTCATGCCTCCTGTATCCCACTGCTAGCCTGTGTGGGTGACTTGTCTGTGTGAGGCCCGAGTGCCCAGCAATTCAGACTTGAGGCTGGCTGCGCCCCTCGGGCTGCACACTGCTCCCTACAGGCCTGGGGACGGAGGCATTCAAGAGATGGCACAATATTGATTAGAAACCCAACAGTCCCTTAAGTCCTACCCAGATCTAGTAACGATTCCTGACTTGGGAAGTACTGCAGAAGACCACGAGGGTGAGATACATCCAGGCCGAAAAATGAAGCATAGTTCCTTCTCTGTGTTCACACTTAAGGCGTACCTACAACATCCTGATGTCAGATTTCCCCCTGCAGAAGAAATCCCAGCCATAAAGTAGACCCAATATAAGACTTTCCTACATAGAAGCCTCTTGTTTCCTGGAAAATCTCTCCCTTCACACATGCACCGTTTGCTAATAATGAATAATCAGTAATTAATAGACAATAGCCATTTGTCCCCAAAGAATTTTCCCTTGAGCAGCCTGCCTGGAGGAAAGCAGTGGGTGCTCTTGTCCTGGTTGGTATCAGCAAGGAGGGACGTGCTCACTTCAACACAGCCACTTGCGGGTGAGTGGAAGATCCTGAACTCCGGGGGCCTGTGCTTGGTTCAGAGCAGCATCCAGAGGAAGCTGCAGGGGGCACTACTGAGCCTCCCACAGCGCACACGGTTCACCACCTCGGTGTTCAGGTCCTGGCCCCACCTGGCAAGCCTAGGCCTGCCGGGGGAGGGGACAGCAAACAGAACTATGGCCTGGCCAGCCGCCGCGCCTGCGGACTGCAGGGGCTGGACTGGGTGCTCGCTCAGGCCCCTCCCAGGACACTGCCATTCCAAGCCTCAGCACCTCTCCACGTGTAGTTTTCTCCCTAGGAGGGCCCTTTTGGGTCCAGCTGATCTGTTCCCGGACCATATTCTGTATCTCTATCCCTGCAGAATTCAGTTTGCTGCCCTGAAACAAGGCAGCAGGAGGAGAGAACAGCTTCTTAGTGTCTTTAATTAGACAACAGGAAAAAACACAGTCTGGCTGAAAATTACCACTTAAAGCTTGGCTGATGCCAAAAAAGCAGTCCTGGCTCCCTGCGCTGGGATAAGTGAGAGCCGCTGGTTCCCAGGACACACTTGGGGTGAGGGGAGCAGGAAGAGAAGCTGGTTCTTAGTCGCCCTCTGGCCTTTACAGCTGCCCACTGAATATGCCAGTCCCAAATACGTACCCTTTTCCTTCAGCAGATCTTTATGGTTGGGGACAGGTAAAGACTCTCATCTCTGTTGTGAAAGTGGGTATAGAGCTGGACCTGGAAGTCATTGCGGTGAACACAAGTCTGGAACCCCAGGGTGGCATTTTTACAGCCACCATCCTCCCTCAACCTGCAGGGCATGGTTTCCCTTGCTCTGGCGAAAGCCCTTGAATATATCACAGCTGGTGTTTTAACCTGCTTCCAATTAGCAACAAGAATTTTAAGGTATTTTGGAGCTGCTTAGTGGGAATTAAGGAGCCACCCACTTCGTCTGCATCAATAACCTTTAAGATCTCCCACGCTATTGAGACGGCGTTCTCCACTCCCCCAGTGTTTCCTCCCCAGACCCCCACTATATAAATCGAAAGCACCTTTTTATTAAACCTTGCTATTGATCTCAGCTAACCTCCACGCTCTCTAAAGGGGGAATTCTGGTGTCAAGGGTCCAGTTGACATTAGTGGCAAGTAGTTCAAACAGCCCTCTGTGGGCCACAGAAAGATCACTAATGACCTAATTTTCTGCTGCAGCGACTTACGGGGACTCCTCACTGGACGCTGTTCCTTTTGATCCCGAAGATATGTAGCTGCTAAGAGACCACCTTTCCTCCACGGCCATCATGATACAGGGTACAGATAAGAAACCCTGCTTATCTTCCAAGTGAGGCTGACCTCACCTTGTCCCCACCCCTTCCCCAGCCCCAGCCCAGGGAGACACTGGCAGTGCTCCAGGGGCAGCCCCCTGCCCGAGGACAGAGCAAGGTCGGAGTCTCCAGCTACTCCCGTTCCTCACTGGGAGACCTGTGCAGGGCTCCCTGCGTTTCTCCAACTGCCTCCTCAGGATTCCGAGTGTGCGTTCCTTCGAAGGGGAGGAATGAGCACCTGTGTCCACAAGGATGTCTGTAACCTGAGAATCCACCCCCGGCAAGGGCCAGTCAAACCCGGAGAGATGGCAGCCAGAGCTCCAGTGGGGATCTGCCTGTGGCACCCTAATCCAAAGGAGCATCCCGGCTTCTGGAGGATTCGACAGATGATCACATCAGGGCTCTGTTCTTGAACATTCTGAAACATAGCTACCAAGTATCTGATGAAAGTCAAGAGGATCTTGTATGCCTCACCCCCTACTGCCCAGCCGGTAGAGCACAACACCACAAGAAAAAGAGATTTTTGTTATTAAGAACAGGAAAGGCCAAGTGGTTGATAACGTCCAGAGATGCCTGTTTTATTTCTCACTAGGTGATTGCATTTCAGGCTGGTGACATCAAGTAACAGTCTAATTATCAACTAATTTTGTACCTCTGAACTACAGATCAACAATCCAGTTCGGCAAGGAGCGACCGTGTCAACAGCTAATCTGGGGGCTGGGTTTTCCAAATCAATGGTCTTGGTTGGCAGGATACTTTGAGTGGAGCCAAGGGCAAGGCCTGAGATTGTTTTAAAGACCCTGACACATGGCTGAGATAGGCTGAAACCCTGTGAATCCCTAGGTGAAGCCCTCCATCTCAAATCCTAAGGGCACAACTGTTATTTTCCTTTTGAGGTCAATTCAGCCTAAGCAAGGAGCCAAGCCAGGCCTTGCAGGGTGGGTCCAGGGCCTAGTTTTAGCTGACATTTCCTCTGCCTTTACTCCTACCTTAGGGCACAGCTCTTTCTCAGGTTCTTAGGAAAAGCTAGGCTTCCGGTAATTTCTTGTCTCTCTTTAGTTCTGCTTTGAAAAGAAGAGGGAACGCAGGGGTGACCCCGAGTGGGCACAGGCACCTCAGCAGAGCTCCCATGGCCCGGGCCCAGAGTAGGGCTGAGTCAGGCCTGCGCTGGTGAGTGGTGCTCCCCTTGGAACGCAGGGCCACTGCATCTTCTTGGGAAGATGTCCACGGGGAAGAATTTATTAACAAAATTCCAAGATAGTAGGGGCTGTTCATCTGAGGAGGCAGAAACTGGGAGAAGGTCAAGATTAAGGAAGAAAGAGCTAGAAGGAAGAAATAAGCAGCTCTTTCTTATCACATGCTAGGCGCCCCATCCAAGTAAGCAATTACTACATGGATCATTACTGTAGCTACTCTTAGTTCTCACCAGAAATGAACACAAGCTTCCTTTGAGAGCTGGAGACCCCCTGCCCAAGAACCAACTGACAAGCTGGCTTTCTCTCTCAGACCAAGTCACTGAGGAAGGGATGTTCTCACCAGCAGCTCAAAGCTGGGGCTGCCGCAGCTCCTCTCTGCTCCACCTGCACCTACGTGTGTCTGAGCCATCTCGGGCTCTGTGCGTGTGTGCTGCCACCTGAGGCAGAGCCAGAGCTCCGGTGCTCTGTCCCGTGGTGCCCGCTCGGCAGAGGACACCCGGCACACAGCTCCCCAAGAGCCCGCAGCTGAGAGTGCACTCCAGTCCCTGCTCTGGCCGGGTGTGCCAGCCCCGTGAATCCCCAGCAGAGTCTCCAGGCACGGTGGGTTCTTCTGTTGCTGAGAGGATGCGCACCCAGGGTGCTAGCTGAGGAGTTAATGCAGAAAACAAGGCACCACAGAGAGGTTGGACACTTGAGTTGTGTGATTTGGGACACGCTGGAAAAGTCCAAGGGTGGAGGGAAGGGGGGGGGAGGAGGAGACTGAGTTTTAAATAACGTCCTGGGAAGCCAGAGCCCCACTAGATGGGCTCTGGTTTGAGCTTTTCTGCTAGGAAGTCATTCACAAAGGCCTCCACAATGGCGGGGGTGATCTCCTCCACGTCCATCACGTACTTGGCCCGGGCTGACATGTCCAGAATGGTGAGCAAAGGGGCAGCCTCGGGCAGGTTGGTATAATCTCGCAGGGAGTCGGTCATGTCATCCTGGAAGTCACCAGAGGGAGAGAAAACCAGTCAGTTTTCTAGAAAGGGTTCCTCAGATGCCCTAGATGGCATGGAATGCAACCACTCCATCGTCCTGGGGAAGCGGGCCACCCTCCCGAAAAGATGGGCACTCAGAAGGGGAGCAGGGGACCCTGTCCTGCCTTGGGGAGGGGGGGAGGCTGGTTCACAAAATTCTGTCTCTGCATCACTCGAAACCCCAGGCAAGTCATCTTTCTTTATTAACATGAAAGCAACTTTTTGTGAAAACGTGATGGCCTTTGATTACTTACTTTTGCAGTCAACTCTCAATTATCTGCAGCTCCCCTGTGGATTGCTGGAGGCCAGTCTGGACTTTAATTTTGCAAGGTTTTAAACAGAAACAGCCCACTGCCCCCACCTCCGTAGCTTCGGGGGTTGGGGGGCTGGACCTGCACAGCCAGGGCTCCTGAAGTACTGCAGGCTTACACGGGTCACTATTTATCCCGCATTCCCAGTGACCGTTCTGATGAACGTCCCTTGTGTTAGATGTAGCTTTATTAAGCATAGAGGCAGACACAGAAATCCAAAGACAAGGAGAAAGATTTGTGAGGGAGCAACCATTTGAGGTTACCTTTCATGCTGCTGAGAACAGAAAACGGACCCTATATACCCAGCCCCAGGCTGTCTCGCTATAAAACATGCAAAACTCTCACTGGATGAAAAGGCCTTGAGGAGCCCTACAGAAAGAGGGCTTGGGGGGTATTCCTGGCGTTCGGCGCTGGTGAGCAGGAGGCTCACCAGTTTCTGAGACAAAAACCATTTCTTTCTACAAGGGCAAGTCTTCAGGAAAGATTACTAGTGATTGTCCTTCTTGCCCCACCCTATAAACAGCACACACTCCCCAGCTAGGTGGCTGGGTGATTCAGCATCCCTGGCACTGTTCACCCAGTGCAGGCCCTCCATTTGGGTTAATAAACAACCTTCATGATAAACAAGGGAGACACCTGGACACATACCAAACATCAAATTCCCATTAGGAGGCCCAGGCCAAGCCCGGCGCTGCTCTGCCTCCCCTTCTCTCTCCCTCTGACCAAACCCAGGGAGATGAATTTTATTGTCTGTTAAGGCTTCAGAAGGGACGACTTCTGCCTGCTAGAGAGGACACAATCAAGACAAAGGAGGGACCCCTTAGCCCTGGGAGGAGTGTGAGGGGCTGGAGTCTGGGGCTCAGAGGCACTCAGTTGGTACCTGACCTTCCAGCACCCAGCCCCCTTCCAGGCTTCCTTGCTTCTGAGGTCAGAGAACTGGACCAAGAGAGCTGCCAAGTCCAGGAGCCCAGATGAGGAGCATGGGAAGGTGGGTGGGGACTGGAGCAGTGGATGACCCTGGTCCTCTGTCCGACTTCCTGGTCCAGGCATCCTGTGCTCCAGGCCGGGCCGGCCCGCCTGCGGGACCACCTGGACAGAGGGGGTGAGAGCACCGCTTCTGGGGTCACTACTGATCTCACGTTCACTCCTCTCTCTGCCACCCACTTAACGTGGGCCTTTGGCAAGAAGTTTCTCAGAGCCCAGGTATCCTAAATCCTGTAAAATGGATTCAGTAATGGCTCACATGGGCCTCTGCGAGGGGTGAGAGCCGGCCAGCACGCACAGCCCAGCCGGCCAGACTCGGAGCAGTCTGACCCTCTCCGAGCCTCACGTTCCCCCACCTGTGAAACGTAATGATGCCATTCCCGCCGAGAGGTGAGTACGTGGGTGGTGCAGGTGAGGCATGTGGCACGGGGCCTGGCTGTAGGAAACCTGCCGGCTTCATTTCTAAAGTGGCCCCTGGAGCCCTCCAGCCCCGCTTCCGCCCCGGCTCAGCCCTTTCTCCTTTGCACTCATCTTTTCTCTCCCAGCCATTTGGAAGGAGTTAAGAGTTTAATACATTCAGAGCCGCTTTCATTCGTGCTTTGTGTTGGGTGGGCTTGCCCCCAAGGCAGGGCCCTGTGAACCTGCTTTGTTCCCTTCACCCCACAGCTGAGCAGGGCGACTTCAGCTGCCTTCGAGGGCCCACCGAGCTGCGGTGGCTATTGAGGTGATGAATGGGTGGTTCAGGGTGTCTGGCTGCCTCTGCGTCGCCTGGGATCCAAACACAGCGTGAAATGGGCATGGGGCTCTGACCAACTGGAGGTATAGATGGGAGGAAGGAGGGCAGGGGGCTTCAAAAAGTGTATCTGTCAATAACTGGCTTAGGCGGGGCCAGGGGAGGTGGTGGAGCATGCGTGGAGCGGGGCTCGGGGGCTGGGGGCTGAGGTGGAGTGGTGCTAGATTCCGTCCCCCACCACTGCGGGACACGCTGCGGGACCGGGGCTCCCACACCTGCAGTAAGGGCAGGCACCTGCGGGGGAGGCAGGCCAGCTAAGGGGCCCGGCTGTGTGCCCCGTGGAAAGTGTTCTGCTCCGCCAGAGGCCCTGGGGGGACAGGCCTCGGGTGGAAGAAACAGGGATGCCAGCGACCTCGGCATTCTCCATGGGCTGGCTGGATACCTGCAGGTCTGGGTGGTGGCCCCCTGACTGGGATCCTGGAAGGGGAAGAGCCCACTTTGCAGGCCAGTGTAGGGATACTGCCAAGCAGACACTTTATAAAGCATCAAGAGCCTGGTTTAGACCCAGCTGAGAGGAAGTAAGTATTGATCATGATCTTTGGGGCCCCCCAGCAGCCTGGGTGGGAGCAGCCTGGCTGCAAGACAGGGACTCTGTCCTGGGAGGGCATCCTGCTGCTCCGAGGCCGCTGAGCCAGAGATGGGAAGAAGGAGGCAGCAGGGTGTGGAATTGGTTTTCCATGACTGACGACACATGTACCTTTTCATGCTACGTTTGTCTGTGGGCTCTCCTAGAAGCACCATCACCCCAGACCCCTGGCCCTTTCAAACATCCCCAAGGGCCACATCACTTGTGTTCTAAAAGTCGGCCAGCTGGGCCAGCCCCAGGGCCAGACCCCGGAGGCACTCACCTCCCCCGCCACAAAGAACAGGAGCGGCGCCTCCTCCTCTTTGGCTTTGTACTTGGCAATGATTTTCTCAGCTATTGGCTGGATCAGCTGCTTGGCCGCCTCAGACTCCCCGTCATCCTCAGAATCTGTGATAGGGGGAGAGAACGACACAAAAAGGCACTGGCTTGTCACTCAGACGGAGTGGTGCCCCCTGAGGGAGCCTGGGTCCAGGGCCCAACACATCCACCTGGGCAGCCCCTGAATGGAAAAAAGGCCTCCTCCTGGACACTGGCCTGGCTTCCTGGAAGTACAAGGGTGTGTCTGCATGCACAGGGCAGCTTGCTTGCTGCTCTCCCACACAGGGCTGTCCTGCACCAAGCCCCCAGGGAAAACTCACTTCGCCGAGTAGCACTAATGCCCAGGCAAACACAACTTTTCTCACTGAACTTTTCACAAACCCACCTTGGAGGCTGGGCTTCCCCTAAGCCAGGAACAACCTGAGGGCCCGCAGTTTTTCTCTCAAGTCACAGAATGAAATGCCGTGACCTCAGATCTCTGACTTCCTGATGGAAACAACAGAACTGGTGGTGGTAGTGGTGGGTGAGGACTGTGGTTCGGTCAGCAGCTTTGGTGGCAGTTGGGAAGCACCAGGGCACTGGAAAGCCAGCTTCATAGCTGGCAATGTGACTTGCTTGGGAGGGGACAGGCTGACTGCGGGGAGAACCCCAGACTGGGCTCCCAGAGCCCACTTTGGGCAGCTCTTGCCTCCAGTGAGACAGCAGCATGGGAGCAGCTCACCCCTGCTGAACCTGTAACCAAGAGCAAGTGCAAAGCAGGGGAGGGGAGAGCAGGTGCCTGCAAAGGACCACTACCCAGAAACACCGCACCGTCCAGGAGGCCCGGTGCGCAGGCTCAGCATTATACACTCTAAATCCACATCTAATTACTCGGTGATACTAGGAACTCGCTTCGCCTCTCTGAGACTCGGTTTCCACGTCTGCAGATGGCCGGTGAGGCTCCCAATTGTCTCTCAGTTCAGAACTGTTTCCCAGGGTCCCAGGATGTGGGTGTGCAAGCCTGCAGCAGGCAGGAAAGCCCTAAGGTGAATGATTCCCCAAGGCCATCACTCCCCAGCAGCCTCTGTCCTCCAAGCACAGGGCCAGCCTGCAAGTCAGTCTGCTTAAGAATTCCCTTGAGTCTGCACACTGGCACCCCTCCTGGGGGCCCTCAAACCAAACCTGTAGAGGATGGGGGTCGGAAGCTGTGTGCAGTGAGGTGCCTACAGTGGCAGCTCAGCCAAGACCCATGATCCTGGGACCCAGATATATTCTGAGTCAGAACTGAGCAACAAGTCCCAAGGCAGAGGGTGAGATGGCCCTTGGGCAGCAGCCGCTCCATTTGCAGAAGGAAACTTAAGGGCCACCCCCTGCGCCTGCAAGGATCCTGGAGTGGATGTTCCTCTGTCCTCCTGCCTGAGTGGGTGCCAGAGTGGGAGAGAGGGGGAGACTGAGGGACATGGCCCCGGAGAGGCCACCCTGGGGCCGCTCATCAGAGCACAGGTGAGCAGGAGCAGCAGCTGGGGGTGCGCCCTGGCCTAAGGAGGCCCAGCCCCCCACAGCTGCTGTGCTGCGGCCCAGCCTCCAACAATGGGTCTGTTCATCAGGGGGCCAAGGGCCCCCTCCCAGCCTGACCTCTCCTTCCCAGCTGGCAGCCAGAACAGCCAGGAGGGAAAGCACAGCAGCAACTTCCATAACACCTCCCACGGGGTGGGTTGGGGGGGAGAACCATGAATAAATCACCGGGGTCAAAGGCACGGCTGAGCTGCCAGGGCAGACAAAGGCCCTGGCTCTGCACAGAAAGAAAGCTGCAGGGACAGATCCCAGACCCTCCCCCCACCCCGGAGCTCTGCCCTCCCTGTCCCACCCTGGGGCTCCCACTGAGCTTCATACCTACAAAAAGGACAAGGCAGGGGCCCTCGTTGAGCTGCACAGCGTTGGAGTCGGAGAGCTCCAGCACGGGCTTGGGGTGCCATGGGAAGCCTCTGCAGTCCTCATCGTTCAGCACCTCCACCCGCCCCTGCCGCGTGATCACCTCGCCCTGCGGGTCCAGCACTATGAGGGTGGGGATGCCTGCAAGAGACAGAGCGAGCTTGGCCAGGGCCCACCCACAGCCCACAGGACAGCCCCCACAGAAACACAGTTTCAGTCAGAGAGCCCTGGGATGGAATCCAGGCTCAGGCTCTTGAAGAGCCACGGAACCCCCTTGGGTCCACAGGTTACTTCTCCATGGAACCCGACCTTTCTGCGCCCCAGTATCTCCAGGGCCACGTGGTGAGTGCACTGCAGGTCTACCTCACCCACTAGGTAAAGATCAACGGGGCTGTCCATTTAAGAACTCAGCACAGGGTCTCGGCACACAGAAACAGTTGAGAAATTCTGAAGAGATTCCCCCACCTGCAGGGAGTCTAAACTTAGCGAGGTGGCATGAACACACACTCTCCCGCAGTGTACTCACTATAGTGCACAGACCAGTACAGATCAACAAGCAGGGGGGCCCAGCATGTGTAGGTGCAGGGGGCCTGTGGAGCGAGGGGCCTGGGGCAGGGGCTGCTGCAGGAGAACAGGAAGAGGACAGCTGGCCGCCAGTGAGTCAGTGCCCCCCCACCCCCCCACCCCGTCGCCAGCCCTGCTGCCTGGGGAGGTTCCAGTCCCCTCTCTGAGGGGGGCAGTCCCTAAGGGAACACACTGATGGCAGTGCTGCCACCCTCACGTTAGAGTCCTGGGCTGGGGTAAAAATGCAACACAAAGCTCCCCACCAGGCACAGCCCCCCCCATAAAGCCTCCAGTGGAAAATCAGAGGAGACCCCCATCCTGGACTACAGTTGCACTGGGGTCTTCCACCTCCCTGCTCTTTGCACCCCACTCCCCGCTGCTTCTCCTCCACCAGGGCTACCCCCCAGCCAACCGCAGCCCACAGAGGCAGCCTCAGCCTTGCCCTCCAGGGACACCTGTCTCTCCACTGGCAGCTGGTCCCCCTCCCCCCTTGCACTAAACAGCCACCTCCCCTCTGGACCTGACCTGAGCTTTAATTTTATATGTGCCAGTGAAAGCCAGAGCAATTTAATATTTATAGATTCCACAGTGTTCAGTTGGTAATTTGCTCCACTGACATTTTACTTCTCTGTTGGGGGGGATGCTGAGGTACCAGAAATACAGCCCTGGAAGTTTGTAACCTGTGTGGTGGCTAGGGCATCGGGCGTGCTGTGGTGGGCCTACCTTCAAAAGGAAAAATGAGTCCATTCTGTTCACACCTACGAGAAGAAGTGGCCTGGAGTGGTAGGGTACAGGGCCAGAGAGAAGCGGGCTCCGGGGACTGCCCCTCCCACAGCACACGTCACACACAAATGCACGCAGCCGCAGCCCACACTGTTCGGGCGTTCAGAATGTGCCCAGAGCTGTCCAGGCCTCAAGTCGTGTGTTTGAGCCCAGGAGACTCAGGGCATTTCCAGACCCATCTTCACAGCTGCACGTTAACCCCCAGAGGCCTGGGGCTCCGATCCAGTGGGTCCCCATCCTGGATTGGGCTGGGCTTGAGTCAGCAGCCTGAAGGGAGCTGGAGCCTGGACAGGCCACCCAGCTGCAGACGAATGCCTCCCCGGTGCCATAACCCAATCTCAAAGATGTTTTGACCAAGTTTTTTAATCAGTTTCTGAAACTGGGCAATTTCGAGCGTTGTGTTAAACCAGGGCCGGCCCGCAGCTATGATTAGTCATAGCAGCAGGCCTGCTTGTAGCCCAGATGTGGGACGCGGAGTCGGTCCGCAGGACAAGCAGGCATGGAGGGCAGAGAAGCCCACTTTCCGGTTTGGTGCCGCAGTTTCTTCAAGTGGCTACTCACAGGGGCCTTCTTTGTTACCATAGCTGTGGCCTCTCTCCGGTCCTTGCGGGTGGGGTCCAGGACAACGGGGCAGGGACATGGAGCCCCCCGCTGGCTGTGGCAGAGTCCCCAGTTGATTCCACTGAGGAACAGCTCCCCTGGGCCCCAGGTCTCCCCACCTTCCCCATGGCTACGCAGAAGCGAAGTCCCCCTTGTATTTGGTGCTTTGAGCACCGAAACCATGTCTGGGAGCCCAAGATGACCAGGCACAAGTGACCAGTGATTTGGTACAATAACCAGTCAGACTGCAATCCAGAGAAGCCCATTTCTGGCACACAAGACAGGTGAAGAGAATTGACAAGCACTGGGCCAGGCCGCCTTCCCATCACCCGAACTCGGGTCAGCTTGGCCATGGAGCCCTAGGTGTGGAGTCCCTCCAGGGATGAACCAGAGGGAGAGAGATCTGCTCTGTGCTCCGCATGGCACCTGGGACCCCACTCACCCCGGGAAGTATGATTATCCTCCTTCTATGGATGGTCAAGTTACCCACTCAAGCTCATCCGGCCAGTAAGTGGGACAGGAGCCCTGGTCTGCCTGTTGGAAAAGATGCTGCTCTTTCTACAAGGCCAACCACTGGCAGGCACTCTCACAGCCCCTAGGTTGGGGCTGTGTCCCCAGGGAGAAGCCAGGCAGGGAGCCCTGCATCTGAACGTCCTGTACCACCCGCTCCCTATTCTCTGAGGCTGCGGGAAAGGAGGCTGAGATACAATCACCTCTCCCCTTTTCTCCCCCATCATGCATTCCCTGTGCCCTGCTCCCTTGAAGCAGGTTCCCCGAAGCAGAGACTTCTAAGGAAAAAATAGGGCAGAGCCTCCAATGGGAAACTTGAAGGGAATGGGACATTTCTAATCGATGCCTTTGTACAAAATAACTTCCACACCAGCAAGGGGCTGCTCTGAAGGGAATGAAAAAGGAGCAGTTCATCTCTGCTTCCCTTGAACTTGGCGTTTCCCGGCTGGGATGGTGGGGATGGTGAGGATGGTAGGGGAAGGTGTACAGGGAGAATTCTAAGGAAGATCTAGGCAAGTCACTTAACTTCTCAGGGCCTCGTCCACAGTCACATGGGGTAGTGATAGTTTCCTATCTTCTTTGGGTGTTGGGTAGAACAAACAAGACGACAAGTCTAAATGCTCTTTAGCAGAGAATCTGGTGTACGTAGGTAATCCGTCAATAGGAGCTCTTATTGCAAATGACTTCATTATTATTATTATTTTTGTCATCCTGAAGTTGATTATTTGGCTTTTAAGAGGGTATAGAAGACTGGGGCCTGACTCTAGGGAGATAAACAGAAACCTCCACACTGGCTGGAGAGAGTGAGCTAAGGAAACAGGGCACAGAGACCCCACCGACACTGCAGGAGGGTCCAGGGACAGGGTGATGTCTGCCACATGTGGGGTTGGTATTCTTCTACTTACACGGTCCCCAGCTTAACCTCTGGGCATAAGACACATCCTCTGCGCTCCTAGAGCCGCAAGCCCCTGCCCTGGGGAGCTCGGGCAGACCACAGCAGTGCCTCGGAACCCCCTTCCCCATCTCCCTCAAAGCCCAGAGAAGTGGGGAGGGTATAGCTCGGTGGTAAAGCACATGCTTAGCATGCATGAGGTCATGGGTTTGATCCCCAGTGCCTCCATTAAATTAATAATAATAATAATAATAAGCCTAACTACCCCCCAAAAAAAATTTTTAAAAAAATCAAACCTAGAGAAGAAAGAACAAGGCCCAAGAAGCTGACTGCAAACTGTTTCCTCCTGAGAGGAGCCAACTTATGAGTATTTAAAACAGTGCCAAAGCCACGTGTGCTAAGACTGGTTGCTTTTCTACTGCCAAGGAAGGAGGGCATTTTGAAGGAGGGGGTGGGGGTGGGTGGGGAGACACTCAAGCCATCCAGCGCCCTAGGGCGGGGTGCGGACAGGAGCTGAGCAGGGCTGTAACCCAACTTTCTTTCTCTGTTTCTCGGTGGCAGTGTGATGGCAAAGACTGCTGGGGGTAGGGAAGAGAAAAGAGATCAAAAGCAGACCCCAGGACAGGAAGAACAGGTCCGGGCACGAGGCAGGGCAGCGTCATCCGCGGTCACAGAAACAAATGGTCATTATGAAGACTAGCAAGATGGGAAACGTCTGTAACATATGGTTAAACATAAAATACAGAATGCGCAGTGCTACGTGTACACTTACAACGATGCAGAAATATGCTTGCAGACAGAGACCAAAAAAGACTCAGAAAAGTGAAAACAGTTGCGTTAGGAAGGCAGGAATGTGAGTGAGAGATACGTAGTTGAGTTTTCTTAAATGGTGTCATGGTAGATGTATTCACATAGAATAAAAATCAAACGAGAACCGCGGGGCAGTAGGGGTGGGGTGACAGATACAAACCACGCCTTGGCCATGTCATCACATCCCTCCTTCTCCCCTTTCTGTCTCCCCCAGACCTTGCCCTTGCAGGGAGAGCTAAGGAAAGGAAGGTGGCAGTGGGTTTGGATGGTGATGCTCAGAGAAAACCAAGGGAGGTCAAAGGGATGAGTCTAGGTGCCCTTGGACCTGGCCAGCAGGCCCGCATGCCTGCATCAGGAGACATAAAGAAGATATTTAAAATGGCCACATTCTCGTAGTACAGAAAAACCAGAAACAAACAAGTGTCCACCAACAGCGGACCAGAGAAACAGACTGGTTTCAACGAAGCCCTTCATGGCACTGAAAAGAAAGAGACCAGATCTAAATATTAACAAGGACAAACCTCAAAAACGTCGTATTTAGAAAAGCACATTGTAGAATGACATTATGGCACGTCAGCACTTCAGCTTGCTTCTAAAAACACAGCCAGCACGACTATGTATTATTCATGGATTCCTATAAACGCAGTAAACGTACTAAAACAGAGGAGGAAGATGCACACTCAATGGATGGTGGTGTCATCACCCCCCGCCCCACCCCGCAGAGGAGCCAAAGGAGCCCCGGCTTTGTCTGTACTTAATGCACCCGTTTGTTTCTATTTTAAATACCTGAAGCGAAAGTGTCAAATTCTAGGCGGTGGCCGCATGGGTGTTTGTTACATTATTCTTTGTCCTTTCCTATTTTTCTCTTTTTTTATGTTCTCAAAATGAAACAAGGGGAGCAGAAGACTGCACTGAGGCTGTCCTGAAGGTCCCGAGGAGCCCCCAGGCCCACGGGGCCAGCTCCACACAGCCTGCACCAGCCCTTTAAATTTGCCTTAAAAATCTGCCTACGGAAAACACCAGCATTGGCCCCTCGCCCTCCACTGATTGAGAAACAATCACCAAATGTTCGTATAGAAAACAGACTCTGCCTCAAGTGCGTTTTTTGAAAGGGGTAGGGAAGAGGGCAAAGGAGGGAAAAGAGGGAGTTGAATGGTGGGAAGTGAATGAGGAAGGCAGGGAAACAGGAAAAGGAGAAGGAAAAGCCAGGATGTGAGGATAAGGAACCAGAGGGCCACAGAGAAACAGAAGAGAAACAGATCCCAGGAAAGCAATCAGCCCTCACACCACTGCCTCCCAGGCCCTCCCGGTGATGGGGCCACCGTCCATTCCAGGACCGTTTGGGGGCCCCAAAGGGTGGGGTGGGGGAGGGGAGAGGAACCATACCAGCGAGGGCCCCTAACCCAGGAGAGAAGGGGCTCTGAGCCTCCCCGCAAAGAACATGGTGTTCTCTGACAGCCAGCATCAGACAATGGCTAATAGGATTTGCCTTTTGCCAAGTGGATCTAAACCCTTCCCCTTAGAAAGGCATTTTTCAACAGCGTATAGGGCTAATCTCCCAGTATGCAGCAAGTGCTGGGAGGAGAGAGGCCAATCCAGCAACTCCCAAGACAAAAGAAGAGGATGGAGCCAAATGCCAGGGTCTCAGTGAACTCAGGAGGCCCTGTGAAGACCACTGGTTAGCACAGCCTGGGCTTAGCCCAAAGTCCAGAGCACCCAAGGGAACCAGCGATAAGCCTGGGAGCAGATTCCTCCCTAAGCCTTGGGAGTGTATCCAAAACTTGTGTGGAACCTTGCAGAGCTTATGAGCTCTCCTTAAGAGACTGCTGTTTTGTATCCACTCTGCTACCAAGAGCCTTAGAAGCATCTCATAGAACATAGGGAGGGTAGAGAACCCCCACCCCCACCCCCACCATACTGGCTATGCATAATGTAGACCATCTTTTGGTAATTTACTGCTTTCGGGTGACCCCAGGTCCTTAGCACTGACCACCAAGAGTATGACCTGCATCTGGCTGGCCTCTACACCCAAGAAAGGGCAATCCCCTTCCTTAGAGAGGAGAAAACTGTGCTCCACGGAGGACTTTTGCTTGGAAAGAAGCCGCCTCCATGTGGAGAGACCACCTGACTGAGCAGGGCGGCTGCATAAGGCCCAGCAGCCGGCTCTCCTCTCTGGGACAAGTCCAGTCTTCTAAGCCCTCATACCAAATGGTACTTGTTTGACCAATACCTTTTAGTTCTTTAAAAGACATCATCCTACTCTGCTCTTTAGTTATTTCCCAATGTAAATTTCATCTTGTCCACTCAAGGGCAGCACTGGGATACCTTTCTGGTTTCCTATTTCCCACCGAGTTCAGTATACACTATAGTGGTTAGCTGGAGCTCAAGAAACAGAATCCTATGCATTAAAATCTACTCCACCTTTTTTCCAAAAAGAATCTGAAGCAGCTTAAAAAGTGAACAGTACAAACCAACAAAAATAGGTGAAAACATCCCCTGAAAGGAAAACAAAGAAGGAAGAGAAAACGACGCTAGGGTGGTCAAGGGCTGGCACAGAAATGGTCGGCTTCGCAAAACTGCTAAAGGTGGTTACAAGGTCAGCAAATACTTGCTGAATGAATGAATGAGTGAATGGAGAGACATCAAGTTTTACTTATCCCCACCAAGTGGCAACTCAACCCTCTGCTCAGTACCACTGGCCTGGGGTCATCCTGACACTCATCTCGAGAAAGGAACTGTGAGTACAGAATCCACGTTATCCTATTAATGCTCTCGGCAACTCTGTGGCAGATTTATCATCTGCAATTTGCAGATGAGGAAACCAAGGCCCAAAGAGCCTGAGTGAATGGAATCAAGTCTGTCTGACAGTAAAACCCTCGGGCTAGGGTTCTGGCCAAGTCACCTGGGGGCATGCGCTCCGTAGCCCAGTCACGTCAGAACCCACTAGGCCGGGTGGTAAGAAGTAGCTGTCTCACCTGCACAAGCTCTTTTTTTTTTTTAATGGCTTTAATGAGGTATAATTTACATACCATAAAGTCTACCACATATTTTTAAGATGGTAAAGAATGTGAACATTCATGGAAATAAAGGTGTTCTTTTCCCTCTAGAATAAGAGCAAAAGAGGTGGTGAGCCCGGGTGAGCGGGATTCCAAGGAGCCGGAGTCAGGGACGCCTACCTTGGATTCCGTACAGACGGTTGAGGCGCGACCGCCGGGCCTCGTCGGTGTAGGGGACGGCGAGCCACGGCATCTCGCTGAAGTACTGTTTGAAGGAGTCCTCTGACCTACAGAGACACACACGGAGACAAGGCTCTGTTACCCCCACGGCACCGGCCCTGGGTCCTCCCCGCCTCCTACCCGGTGGTGCCCAGGGCCCTGCAGATGCCGGGGCCGCTAATCACTGTGCTCCTTGGACACCGGGCTATGGGAAGGCGTTACCCTACCTGGTCCCGTGTACCCCAAAGCAAAACTCTGCACAATAGGCGGATGCCCAATGGAAATGCCAGGCTATCCCAACAGCCCGCTCCTCTGCATCCACCCGTAACTTACCATTTTCAACATGGACAGGTCTTACTTTTATAAGGAGCCTGGGTGCTCAGCACTACATTCCCCGTGATGCTTCTAATTTGTGCACGTGACGGTGATGGGTATAGGACTACACTTTTAATCAAGTATAAATAATTTCACATCTAAGGAATTCTAGGAATGATTAATCTAATCAAGTGACAGAAAGCAAATCGGGGGTCTGTGGGGCTGGGGCTTGGGGTGGGGACTGACTGAGAAGAGGCACAAGGGGTTCTTTTAATTGATGGGGATGTTCTATATCTTAACTGTGATGGTGACATAGGAACCATACATTAGTCCAAGTTCACTGAACTGTATACCTAAAATGTGTGCATTTTATTGTATGTAAATTATACTTCAGTAAAGCTGATGTTTTTTAAAGGTTTAAAAAAGAAAGCAGTTTCTCCACGTGGCATGGCTTCCAGCTTGCCCTGCTCACATGCAGTGACGGGGGGATGGGGAGCAGTGGGACAGGGCCATGGACCAACAAATGGAGCACAGCATCACACAGATGTCAAGGAGAACGCCGTACACACGACGCCCTCCGTGTGTTGGCATCTCAGAGACCCTTCTTTGAACTGGAACTTAAGAGGCAGAATGCCTGGTGGCTTGGTCTGAACTGGGGCTGGAGTTATGAGATGAAGGAAGGTCCCTGATGAGTAAAGCCAGTCAGAGGGCAAGAAGCAGAGGAAACTGAGGCTACAAGGCCCTGATGTGCTCCAGGAAGAATGTCTGTTCTTGTTTTTAGGAGAGCCCCCAGATAGAGCCCGTGGCCAGAGCTAGGAAAAAGGACCGCACAGCCATCCAGGATAGGTGTCACAGCCCACGAATCTCTGGCTCTCTTATTTCCATCCTCCCCTTTCCATGTCCTTTCACCGCGATCCAAAAAGCTGAACCAATCAGAAAAATGCATTCTAAGCTCAAATGCCCCAGGCTGGAAGTGGGATGTCCCCCAGTTTTACAGCAAGAACGGGTTTTTCTTGGCTCCTCTTCAGACAATGACATGAGTAAATATGAAACGTATCTGTCCCTCTACCAATCCCAGCTACGTCTTCCTCAACCCCTATCCCCAAGCTCTACACTAACGAGGCAAGAAGTGTGAGGCAAGAGACATCCGCCTGCGGGAAAGGGGAGATGCTCTGCCCCTCTCCGCAGCACACGGTACCTGTCCGCACTAACAAAGATGATCTCGAATTTCTGGCCGGCCTCCTTGATCTTCCGGTAGGACTCCACCAGGACCCGGGTGAGGCTTCGGCAGGGCGGACACTGAAAGACACGAGTGGGATCCTGCCACGTCTCATCCTACCTTCTCCTCCCTGTTTCCCAGCCACCTGCCAGCAGACGCCAGGACAGCAAGACCCAGTCTCTGGACGAGGCAGAAACAAACGTGCCTCTCGTGATGGGGATCGTCCAGCACAGGCCCCACACACCCACATGGGTACCAGCGGCCAGCAGTTAAAATGAACTCTCTCAGGCACTGTTAGGAGCCTCACCAGAACGGGTGAGGAGGATGACCCTTTTAGGCCAGTCCAAACAAGTCACTTTCTTGCTGCTATCATTGTTCACAATAATAAGCATGTGTCGCCCGCCAGCAACGCAGCAGGCACAGGAGAACACGAGAACGCCAGGCAGTGACGCTGGAGCAGTCACACCTCCAGAAGGCAACCCCAGCTGGTCTCGGTGGAAGCATCACGGCTCCCTTCTGTCCGGACTACAGAGGGACTGAGCACTCACCCAGTGTGCGGAGAAATAGACTCCCACGTGAGACCCCTCCAGGCTGCTGCTCTCCAGGGACTGCCCATTATTTCGAAGTAAGGGCCCTGCAATGACTTCCCTGAAGGGTTTAGGTCCCCAAGGGAATTCCAAACCTGAAACAGGCAACGGATGGCGAGACTGTTAAGACTCTTCATTGTGGCCTCTGATCCCAGAGGCCTCAGGGCTGCAGGGCATGACAACTTTATCACCACATAGCATTTGGCACGTCCTGGGCAGCTAAAGCACAGGAATAAAGGCAAGACTCACCACGGCAGAGCCCTACCTTCCCGCAAGGCAGTGGGTCCTGTACCTGATGATCACGGGCCAGGGCTTTTGAAAAGTACAGAAGCCCAGGTCACCCCCCAGCCCCAGTCTCCGTCTCAGCATCCGGGGGCAAGGCTGAAGACGTTAATCCAAAACAAAGTAAAATGACTTCCCAAGCGACTGTGAGGATGGGGCAGTTGGGGAATCACTGCCTCAGGCATTATCCATGCGTTTCTTCAGTTCCAACCCTGGACTCTGAGTGGCTCTCAACTCTGCATTTTAGAACCAGCTGGGGAACTGTAAAATACGATGCTCCTAGGCCCCACCCCCAGAGATTCTGATTCAGCTGGTCTGGGTTGGGGCCCAGGGGAACCAAATGAGATGAGAATTTCAGTCCAGCGAAAGGAAAGTGTAAAACTACTCAACCCAGATGGTCGACATTCTGATGACACGTAAACCCCAGGCAGGAAGAGCCAATGATATGCTCCGTGCTCCACAGAAGAGTGTTTGCTCACAGGGTGGTCCCGGGCCACTGCCTCAAACTCGCCTGGGGTGGGTGGAGGATGGGAAGCCCACCCCGAAAAAATGGATCCCCAAATCTCTGGGGGTGGGCCGGGGAAGCTGTGTTTTTAAAAAGCTTCAGTGTGTGTGTGTGTGTGTGTGTGTGTTTATATTTCAGAAGGTAAAGGCTTGCTTCTACCTACCCTTGTTTTTAGAGGGCAATTCTTTTAAGCAGGTAAAATGTTTACTGGGAAAATTTGTGACCAGGGTTGAACCCTCTAACTGGATCAGTTAAGTGAGGGATGGAAGATCTTAGAACCCTCTTATGACTCCAGTGCACGGGGGAAAGAAACAGGCCCTGGACAGCCTCTGAGCGGGGAGACGAGAGCTGCCCAGGCACGGCCATCCATCCGGCCGGTCAGCAACACCAAGGCTGGGAGCCTTGGGAAGCACAAAGAAACGAGGGGCCCTCACCGCTCAGCCAGGAGAGCATCACAGAGATGCAGCTTTGCTATGGTGACATATTCATGAGAAAGGAACCCAGAACCACTCTGCCTGCCTCTGACTGCGAAGGTAACAGCTGCCGTTGAAACAGCACTAGGAGTCGGTATCTGGGCTCGAGCTGCTTCTCCACAGCCTCCACAGCCCTCCAAGCTGAATGGCCTTTTTCAGATTCCATCCCCTTTTGGCCCATGAATTAAAGCCCCCATGAGGGACATTCTGATCTCTCTAAAAATCTTAACCATGACCGGCAGAACACTATAATTTCATCAAGACAATATCCGCTAGTCAAATAAACCTACTCTTGTGGATTTCCTTCCTTGCTCTCGCCCAGCAGGGAGGGGGGCAGGGGGGCGGGGGCAGGAGTGGGGATGGACATGCCAAGGTCTTACCTTCCGGGTCATCACGGATCACCAGCAGCCCATTCCTGCACACGACCTTCCCCGTGGTGGCGTCTAAGAATATTAGTGATGGAATGTTGGAAATTCGATATTTGTTCCAAAGTTTAAGCTATAAAGAAGAAAAGTAAAAGAAGGTGGCTAAGTCCATACTGGGTTAATTGCAGAATTCTTTCAAGGACCCCCCCTCCCCCGGGCCTGAGGGGCAGATGGGCTGGAAAACACTAAAGTACAGGTAAGTGAATTACTGATCAGAAGTAGGGCAGACCAGGCAAAAGGGACACGTGGAGGGGAACCTGCATTTGAGTCACACCAGGGTGCAAGCCGCAGCAGAGGCCGAGGGAGGACCATGCTCATTCTAGGTGAGCTTTTCTCTCCTCCCTCCCCAGTAGGCATGTCTCTAAGAGGCATGAAGATGGATTAAGCGTCTTTCAAACACAATCAGACCTCCGCCAGATGGCAAAGGCAGGAAGGCAGGCTTTTTATTGGTGCTTCCCTATCCTATCAGCTGGCAGGTGCTCCCCTGCTCCCCTGCTCTGCCATGGCCCCTGGTCCCAGGGAGAAGGGGCAAGGGTGCCCAACAGAAGACCCACTAAGTTAAAGTCAGCCCATCTCCCCACATCACCAGGTCCCTGCACTGGGACTGTCAGCAGTCACTGTAAGCATGTGCCACTCAGCCTGCAAACACTAGGAAGCATTGGCCTCAGCCAGCCCCAACCCGCAGCTCCCCATGCCACTCAAAATGATCCCCAGTCTCCTGGCAGCTTCCTGTGGTTGGCTGTGCCAGCTGTCCAAGGGCCAGGGTCTAAGCGGGCTAAGAAGGGCTAGGAGCCGAGTTATGCTGACTCCCTTGTGAGCTCATGGCCGCCTGGGTGGACACCGTTCAGGTGGGTCACCGGGTTCTCTGGAACTTAATTGCCAAGCCCAGAAAGCAATGTAATGAAACGAAATATCGAACTATCAAGGTGCCTCCAGAAAAGAGAAAATAAGGGGAGACTGCAGGATTGTCTACTGGTGACTCGTCTGTGAGCCTCCCTTCCAGGGGCCTGGAGCCCAAACAGGAGGGCTGGCGGTGTGGCATTGGCAGAACAGGGTACAGAAGGGTCGAAGGAAACAGGCATCAGATGTCCAGCGGTGGACGGAAAAGGATGTCGAGGCAAAGGCACGTGTGGCTATGACACCGTTTTTAATTCAGTCCCAAGCAGCCAGGGAGTCCAGCAGGGTATCTGCCAAGAAACGTGAGGCCTCCTCTGCCAATGGAGACCTGGATCTTGACAGGAAGGCTTGTAGGACCCCCAGCTCTAACTGGGCGGCCCCCGTCAGCACTGTGTGTTTTTCCCAGCCCCGCTTTTCCACTGGGCTCCCTGAACCAGCCCATACCTCAGAACAAGAGCAACTCTGCATATACATTTTCAGTGACCGATTTTGCATTATTCTAGAGAAACATGATACAAGATTCAGATTCAACATTCTAAAGTGGTTCAACAACAGAACGAGACCATCCCACCGCTGGGGTTAGCTTTACAAGTCTGCTGGTGCCAGCATCCAGCCAGGTTAATAAAAGAAAAAGAGCGGGGTGGGGGGCAGGGATTAAAATGATCAGATTTTTCTTGTTTAAAAAGTAATTATTTGTGGGGGCTGGAAGTAACTATTGGGAAAAATGGGAAGCATAGCAAACCACAGAAATCGAGATAAAAATCACCCATGACTCACCATTTACGAAAGTTTAGACAATTTTCTACTTCCGCCAGAGGCAAACAACAGCACCATTTCCTGGTACTTTCATCAACATTATCGTGACCATTAATTTTCCCAGTTTAATAGGAAAAAAAATGATACCTCATTTTGTTGCTCACATTTCTTTTACTTACTGATGTTTAAGAGATATACATATATCTTACTGTTATAAATATGTTTTTCCCAGTATGTTTTTTTACAAGTAGGAAGTGCAGAAATTCATTCAACAGACATTAACTGAGCCCCTACTACGTGCCAGCCCTGGTCTAAGCACAAAAGATACAAGAAAAAGAACAAGGCAGATGAAGTCAGAGCTTCTATTCTAGTGGGAGAGGCAGACAATGTAAGCAAGAACATAGAGAGAAAAGTAATTTCAGGCACTTATAAGCCATAAAAGAAAAACAGAACAGGGTAAGAGCAAAAGCATGCTGGAGGGAATGGTACACGTCTCAGCACGTGCTCTGGGAAGGCATCTTTGAAGTAATGGCATTTGAGCAGAGACCCCAATAATGATATGAAGCAAGTCACGTGCACATAAGGGGTGGGAGGGGTGTCACCTGAGGCCCAGGGAACCTGTGTAGAGACCTGGAGGCTGAATGGGGAAGGCTAGAGTGGATGCAGTCAGGGAGGGGGGGCCACGATGCAGTCAGAAGGGCACTCATGCACCAGATTTTTAAGGCCCAGTAGACTGGTAAAAGGAATGAAATTTTATTCTATATGAACAGTCAGCCTTCCAAGTGCACAGGTTCCGCATCTGCGGATTCAATCAAGTGCAGATCAAAAATATTCGGAAAAAAAAATCCAGAAAGTTTGAAAAAGCAGGGCTTGAATTTGCCAAATGCAGGCAACTATTTACATAGTATTTACTTGTGTGTATAACTATTGACGTTACATGTACACTGTATTAGGTATCATAAGCTATCTGGAGATGACTTAAAACATCCGGGAGGATATATGTAGGTTATATGTCAATACCAGGCCATTTCACATTTCAGGGGAGGGGTCTGATCTGATTTACATTTTAAAAGGTCACTTGGGCTGCTGTGGAGGAAGAAACTGCAGGGAAAGACCCCTGGAACTTCAACTGCGGAGGCCCCGTGAAGAGCCAGCCGGAATTGAGAGCAGTGGCGAAGACGCGGGTTGTAGCAGCTGAGGAAGTGGGGACATGATGACATATTCCGAAGAGTCAATAGGGGAGGCTGACAGATGGATGTGGGGAAGGTGTAGGGAAAGAACAAGACCACGGAGGTACCATATTGTGGTTTGGGGGGATTGAGCAAAAGTGTGTCAAGGGGTCCCATTAACCATGGTTTATGAATCTGGATTAGGGGGTGGGAGGGACGAGATATAAATCAGAAATCCTCGGTGCCTAGATGCTGTTAGGGGTCACAGGCCTGGGTGAGGTCATCCAAGGAGAGGACGTGGCCAGCGAAGAGAAGAGACCCCAGGGGAGAGCCAGCAGGCTGAGGAGTGATGAGTGACACAGGAAGACAAGGAGACTTTGTGTCCCAACAGGCTTGTGAGGAAAGTGTTTCGGACAGGAGAGAGTAGGTGGCCGTGTCAAATGATGCCGAGATGTTGAGTAAGATGAGGACAGAGAACTGACCAGTGGATGTGGCATCAAAGGTCACATATGACCTCATGGAGTCAAGGAGGAGTCGGTGCAGTGGTGAAGCTGGAAAGCAGACTGGGATGAAAAGGGAGGGTGGGGCGCAGCTCAGTCCAGCACACATTCCTACAGGGGGCCTGGGACTCTGACAAATCTGATGTGAAACATCAAGAGGTGAATAATAAAAAGAAAAGAGGTTATAAAAAGGGAAGGAGAAAATGGGAGCTCAGGGGCTGAGGTGGCAGCTCCAGACAATTCTCTTTAAGAGTTTTACTATAAGGGAGCAAAGAAATGGGATTGTAGCTGGAAAAACACATGATGAGGTCAGAGGGAGGATTTCTTAAAGATGAGGTCAGAGGATGGATATTTTAAAGAAGGGAGATACATGCCACTGGGAATAATACAGGTGAGAAAGAAAAAAAACTGATGGGAAGGAAAAGTGTAAAAACAAAGTCCTTGAATAGGCAAAAAGGTGGGATCTAGGTCACAAAAGGAAAGGCAGAGTTGTAAAAACAGCTAATTTTTAAATATAACATCATCTCTTGGTATCCCAGAGAGGATTGGTTCCAGGATCTGCCGCAGAGACCAAAATCTGGGAATGCTCAAGTCCCTTAGGGGGCCCTCCGCATGCTCGGTTCCACATCTGCAGATTCAACCATCCGTGGACACTGCAGTATTATATAGTATTTATTAGTGAAAAACACTCAAATAAGTGGACCCGCACAGTACAAACCCATGTTGTTCAAGGGTCAGCTATATACACTTCCAAGTAGTCTTTCAGTCTGAATAGAAAGTCACGCTATTTGCAAATAAAGACAACTTCATCTTCTTTCTTCAGTAGTTATACCACTTATTTCCTTTTCTTATAGAACTACACTGGCTGGAATTTCCAGGACAATATTAAGTAGCAAGCATCCTTTTCTTCTACTTGACCATAATGGTCATATCTGTAATATTTTACTATCATATGTAATATCAACCATTGGGTTGAAACAGGTATCCTTTAACATGTTAAACAAAACAGTCCTGAATGTTACCAGCCTTTTGAAAAAGGATGCATATGCTCCAATATACTACAATATGGACGAACGCTAAGTGAAATAAGCCAGTCACAGAAAGACAAATACTGCATGATTCCACCTAACTGAGGTGCTTAGAAGTAATCAAAATCACAAAAGCAGAAACTGTAATGGTAGCTGTCAGTGGTTAGGGGGGCCGGAGAATGATTTATTGTTTAATGGGTATAGAGTTTCAGTTTTACAAAGATGAAGCATTATGGGGATGGATGGTGATGATGGTTTAATGAATGATGGTGAATGCATTTAACACCACTGAAATGTACACTTAAAAATGCTTATGAGGGTACATTTTATGTTATGTATATTTTACCACAATTTAAAAAAAATAGCCTTCCATAACTTTTTGAACAAAAATTTTTATCAGGAATGGATGCTTACTTTAAGGTTATTCTTTTGACTGGCTGTGGTATATTTCATTAGTAACCACTCTAAGGTTAAACCATCCTTGCTTTCGTAGAAGAAATCTCTGCTCACATGTATTATTAAGGGATCACTATAATCATATCTCCCCGGGGTCTTGGGGCTCCCACAAGCAAATGGCATCTTGTAACAAGACTTTCTTTTTGGTAGCTAGACTGTTTCCTAAAGTAATTGCAGGCTGTGAGCCTTAAAGATAGCAGGTGCAATAGGATTGTAATAGAATGTAGGTACCCATACTATACTCAAAACATAAGCCTGTGATCAACT